TCCACCCCCTCTCTTGCCAATCCCCCCACTGGCCTCCATTCAGTGTCCTCCACCCCCCTCTGCCAATCCCTCCACTGGCCTCCACTCAGTGTCCTCCCCACCCCCCTCTGTCATTCCCTCCACTGGCCTCCACTCAGTGTCCTCCACCCCCCTCTGTCATTCCCTCCACTGGCCTCCACTCAGTGTCCTCCACCCCCCTCTGTCATTCCCTCCACTGGCCTCCCCCTCAGTGTCCTCCACCCCCCTCTGTCATTCCCTCCACTGGCCTCCATTCAGTGTCCCAACCACCCCCCTCTGTCATTCCCTCCACTGGCCTCCATTCAGTGTCCTCCACCCCCCTCTGTCATTCCCTCCACTGGCCTCCATTCAGTGTCCTCCACCCCCCTCTGTCATTCCCCTCCACTGGCCTCCACCCCCCTCTCTGTCATTCCCTCCCACTGGCTCCACCCCCCTCTGTCATTCCCTCCACTCCACCTCCACCCCCCTCTGTCATTCCCTCCCCTGGCCTCCACTCAGTGTCCTCCACCCCCCTCTGTCATTCCCTCCACTGGCCTCCACCCCCCTCTGTCATTCCCTCCACTGGCCCTCCATTCAGTGTCCTCCACCCCCCTCTGTCATTCCCTCCACTGGCCTCCCATTCAGTGTCCTCCACCCCCCTCTGTCATTCCCTCCACTGGCCTCCATTCAGTGTCCTCCACCCCCCTCTGCCAATCCCTCCACTGGCTCCCGATTGCCCAACGCATTAAATTCAAAATCCTAACAACACCTCACCATACAAAGCCATTCATAACTCCGCCCCCAAACTACCTCACCGACCTGATACCCAAATACCACCCAACCCGTAATCTTCGCTCCTCACAGACCTCCTACTCTCAAGTTCCCTGGTCTCCTCCTCCCACGCCCCGACTGCAGGACTTCTCCAGGACTTCTCCCATCCTGTGGAACTCCCTACCCCAATCCATCAGACTGTCACCTACTCTCCTCACCTTCAGGTGCACCCTGAAAACCCCATCTCTTCAGGGAAGCCTACCCCACCCCCACCTAACAGCCGATCTCCTCCACTCCTCCTACCACTCCATCCCCCACAGCCACTTCCTCCTGTACCTCTACCCCCCCCCCTCCTAGATTGTAAGCTCCCGGGATCAGGGCCCCTCCCTCTTAGATTGTAAGCTCCCAGGATCAGGGCCCCCCCCCTTGTGTATTGTATTGTTACTGTATTGTCTCATGTTCTGTCCCCCTATAATGTACAGCTGAGCGAACCTTCTGCCGCCATATAAATCCTCTATAAAAATGATAATAATTGGTGCCAGGAATTGGGCACTCACCTCATTGGTGCCAGGAATTGGGCACTCACCTCATTGGTGCCAGGAATTGGGCACTCATCCTCATTGGTGCCCAGGAATTGGGCACTCACCTCATTGGTGACAGGAATTGGGCACTCACCTCATTGGGCACTCACCTGACAGGAATTGGGCACTCACCTCATTGGTGACAGGAATTGGGCACTCACCTCATTGGTGCCAGGAATTGGGCACTCACCTCATTGGTGCCAGGAATTGGGAACTCACCTCATTGGTGCCAAGAATTGGGCACTCACCTCATCCACCTCATTGGTGCCAGGAATTGTGAACTCACCTCATTGGTGCCAGGAATTGTGAACTCACCTCATTGGTGCCAGGAATTGGGCACTCACCTCATGGTGCCAGGATGATGGCGTTCAGCAGGCTGTTGTGCAGTTTTTTTTGGCGACTCGCAGTCCGGTCCATTCTACGGCGATGGAGGTGGACAGACACATGATGATGGCCAGGCAGGACAGGACGCTGAACACCATGGAGTACGGGGAATGGTTGAAGAAGCCACACCTCTGCAGAGAAAGCACACACGTCATTGGTCAGTGAGGGATATATACTGTATACACACGCAGAGCGTAGCTCCACCCCCCCAATAATGGGGGGGGCGGTAAAGTCAGAATTATACCGCCCCCCCCAGTCACAAGACATCACCTCTCCAGCACAGTTGGACGCAGACGTGTTGGAAATGGCGTCCCAGGTCCACTTGGCGAGCCAGAAGTCGATGGCGACCAGCAGAGAGTGTTTTGAGAAGCTGGGAGAAGACCAGGATGGGGAGGAGGAGAATTCCGGCTGAACTCAGATATTTTCCCGCAGGCCCTCCACGGCATCTTTGCCCTCTGATGGAGGACTGAGGACAGGTTGTCATCATCATCCTCACTCTCCGACAACTCCTCTGCAATGAGAAGGAGAATGACAGACAGCGTGTCAGCAAAAGGGGGCGGTGTCAGTGAGAGGGGGCGGGTGTCAGTGAGAAGAGGACAGTGTATCAGGGGTGGACTGACAACTCATGGGGCCCCCCCCCCGGCAATAGGGGATCATGGGGCCCCTGTGTCCTTGCCAAAACCCAAAAAAGCCTATGAAAAAGGTACCAGGGGCATCTCTCATGGGGCCCCCTACTGACCCCGGGCCCTCGGGCAGTGCCCAAGTTTACCAAATGGTCAGTCCACCCCTGGTTGTATGTAAGACCGGGTCAGTAAGAGGGGGAGGTGTGAGGTAAGTGTCAATAAGGAGGAGACTGTGTCAGTAGGAAGAGGGTGGTGTCAGCTAAAGGGGGGCGGAGTCAGTAAGAGCATAATGATGTCAGTGTGGGGCGATGATGTCACTATGGGGTGATGATGTCAGTATGGGTGATGATGTCAGTATGGGGTGATGATCAAAAATATTCAGAATATTCTCCCAGAGATTCAGACTCTTCCATCTCCCACCTCACCTTCATCTTCCTCCTCCTCCTCCTCGTCTCCCAGTGTTTCCCGGAGCACACGGCTCCCTTCTTCCTCTCCACCGGAGTCTTCCTCTCTATGATCTCCTGCAGGAAATACAAAGAAAAAAACAGTAAAGAGAACCTATCCTCACTGCCGGCATCCAACGTGCATCCATCATCACCATCATCATCACCACCACCATCATCATCACCCATCATCATCACCATCATCACCATCATCATCACCATCATCATCACCATCACCATCATCATCATCATCATCATCACCATCACCAAAACCATCATCATCACCATCATCATCACCATCATCATCACCATCATCATCATCATCACCATCACCACCACCAAACATCATCATCACCATAATCATCATCAAATCAACCATTCATCATCATCACCATCATCATCACCATCCATCATCATCATTCATCACCATTCATCATCATTCCACCATCATCATCACCACCATCAACAACCAATCACCATCATCACCCATAATCATCATCACCCCCATCATTTCATCATCATCATCATCACCTCACCATCATCATCCATCCACCACCATCATCAAACACGTATCATCATCACCCACCACCATCATCATCATCACCATCATCATCACCACCATCATCATCACCACCATCAACATAATCACCATCATCACCCGTATCATCATCAAACCCATCATCATCCACCATCATCATCACCACCATCATCATCATCACCATCATCATCACCACCATCATCATCACCACCCATCATTTTATCACCATCATCACCATCATCACCACCATCATCACCCGTATCATCATCACCCATCATCATCACCATCATCATCACCACCATCATCATCATCACCACCATCATCAAACCATTCCATCATCATCACCACCATCACCACCATCATCATCACCACCATCATCACCCGTATCATCATCACCCGTATCATCATCACCCAATCATCATCACCATCATCATCACCATCACCATCCAACCACCATCATCATCACCACCCCAAAACCATCATCACTGCCACCAACCATCATCACCACCACCACCCCCCATCATCATCGCCACCACCATTATCACCAATCACCCTCATCATCACCACCACCACCATCACCGCCATCACCACCATCACCGCCACCACCCCCCATCATGACTCACCTTCTCCAGCTCCTGGTCCTGCCGGTTCATCAGCGTTTTCCAATGTTCATAAAGTTGGGGGTCAGATTTCTGGATGTCCTTCAGGGTCCCCTCTCTCTGGATTGTCCCGTCTTTCATGGCAATAATCTGCAGAGCGATCCATGAGACACACCATGACAACCAATCAGGAGACCTGAGTACTATAACACTGTAATATATAAATATATACCCCCCTCCCCCACACATATATATATTCTGCATAATACAATGACATGTAAATCCAGCCACCAGAATTGCAGCATGAGCGCCCCCTTACCCAGTCAGCATGGATGAGGTACTGCAGCTTGTGTGTGACCAGGACAGTCGTCCTCTTGTTGTCTCGCAGCATCTTCAGGATCCCATCCTGCATCAGGTGATCACTGAGGTGTATATCCAGAGCAGAGAACGGGTCATCCTGGGGGCCAGACATTAGAGTGTCAGCTCCTCTGTACAGAGACTGATGGGACTGTGGGGGAGGGGACATTAGAGTGTCAGCTCCTCTGTACAGAGACTGATGGGACTGTGGGGGAGGGGACATTAGAGTGTCAGCTCCTCTGGTACAGAGACTGATGGGGGACTGTGGGGGAGGGGACATTAGAGTGTAAGCTCCTCTGGTACAGAGACTGATGGGACTGCCAAGCGGGGGAGGGGACATTAGAGTGTAAGCTCCTCTGTACAGAGACTGATGGGACTGTGGGGGAGGGGACATTAGAGCGTAAGCTCCTCTGTACAGAGACTGATGGGACTGTGGGGGAGGGGACATTAGAGTGTCAGCTCCTCTGTACAGAGACTGATGGGACTGCGGGGGAGGGGACATTAGAGTGTAAGCTCCTCTGGTACAGGACTGATGGGACTGTGGGGGAGGGGACATTAGAGTGTAAGCTCCTCTGGTACAGAGACTGATGGGACTGTGGGGGAGGGGACATTAGAGTGTCAGCTCCTCTGTACAGAGACTGATGGGACTCTGGGGAACTGGGGGACATTAGAGTGTCAGCTCCTCTGTACAGAGACTGATGGGACTG